TGGTACCTCGGCTACCTTTGGAATAAATAAAATCATGGAAGTGACCAAGGATCCTAATACTGCAGGGAAAGAGATACTGGAACTCATCTAGGGGGATCTCCAACTTGAGTGGGAAGTTTAATGCTGGACACAATAAACCAACAGATAGAATGAATTGACTGCCTTTTTTTAGCCCAACCTTTTTTGAATGCCTCCCTCAGCCTCTTTCATGCAAAGGTGTTGTTGCTGAAAGTACTGCAGCTCCTGGGGAACATAGGGTTACCGTACATTCTTGTTTTCCTGGACATGTCCTCTTTCTGGGTCCTCCAATTTACATCCAGGCAGTTTTTTTTTAAATCTGAACAAATGTCTGGGATTATGCTCTGCTCCGCTGGTGGGAGATGGGGGAGGACAATTGGAGGTGCACACACATGTGGTTGGCATGCAGTGAGGCAGGGTGATGGAAGCAGCTGGTCCAGCTGGATGCAGGTAAGTTTATGGTGGGGTGGGAGTTGGAGGGCCAAGTCTTGGGGAGAGTGTGTTTCTGCTTGGGTGCTGAGGTTGTGGGGGAGGCACCTGCCCCTCTAGTAGGGAAAGAGGGTGGGGGGACCCTTTGAAGGCAGTAGGAAGTGTCATAGCATGGCTAAGAGACACTGTCCAGACAAGGCCTTAGGCAGGCCATCTAGCATGGCATGGGAGCCCCAGCCTAGGGCAGGGGGTGCCTCAGGACTCTGCTCCTCCTCCTTCCAGCTTGTGCCAGGGCCGGTCTCCCTCCACCACCTGCATGAGTTGAAACCACCATGCTTCAACCTAGTCAAGATAGGGACAGCCAGGGGCTCCCTCTGGCAGGGTTGATGGGGAGCAGAGAGTTGTGGTTCAGGAGTGAAGGGCACTGGGGGAAGGAGTGAGGGGTGGGGGGCTGTGGGTTAGGAGTGAGGGGCACCAGTAGGACTAGGAGTCTGTGGGTCAGGTGTAAGGGGCTTTGACAAGGCCAGGGAGTGTGGGTTGGAAATGATTCATAGATTGTTAGGGGCTGGAAGGGACCTTGCAGTGCAGGACCATGAATGGACCAGCCATCATCAGCCTGTTTTTACCCAGTTTCGATCTGGGGATCTTTCACATGTTAAGTGAATGTGATCACCACTACACCATAGAAACACATGCTGGAGATGTGTGTCCCCGAACAGGTGTCCTCTCTTTTTGGAACTGGAAATATGGTAACCCTAAGGAAACATGACCTTCTTACCAATGGCATCATGACAATAGCACCCAGGAGTGGATACAGGATTTTGTAAAGGGGGGTGCCCCCTATGCATGCATCTGACCTCTGCCGTGTCAGAGGGGGACCTGGCTGTCCCTATCCTGACTGGGTTGAAGCATGGTGGTTTCAACTCATTTTGTAAACTACAGGGATGGCTGCAGAAATGGATCCAAGATTTGGCAAAGGGGGATGTGGTTCATCCCTTGGCTGCTGCTGCTGCAACCCTGTCTAAATCCCAAGGAAGGTAAGCATTACCTCGCTCCCTTCCCCTCTGTGCTCAAAGGCACAACCCCTCCACTTTTCTCTCCATCATTTCCCCCCATCACCTGCCTGCTGCTGCCAGCTCCAGTTGGGCTGCACGTGTACTGCAGTCACTGGGAACTGCAGCAGCAGAAGCAGTGGCCAGGGAGCATGTTCCCCCTCCCTGCACCTGCTCCTGAGCTGTCAGGGGAAACTCTGGGAGAGCACAGGGAATGCAGTCCATCTGGAGTGGGCAGGAGCTCCCCTCCTTGACCCCCTCCAAGCAGCAGGCAGGGGGCTGGAGAGGGGCATGCCTTTGACCACAGAAGGAAAAGGGAAGGGAAAAATGCTTACCTTCTTTGAGACTTAAATCCCTGGCTGCTACTCTGGCAACATGGTTGGAAAGGGGGTTGCAGGTGTGCCACTGCATTGCCTCTAGATCCACCCTTGGTGGCACCCAACACCAGGGCTGGTCCCAGGGTAATTGGCAGCCTAGGTGAACTACAAACCTTGACACCCCCACCACTTCCAATATAGAGGAAAATAAGAAGTATATAATGAACTTTTACATGTACTTATTTGATATTCAAAATGAACAACAAAACAAAACAATTTTTATTGATTGTTTCACACTTTTAATTAACTCTAACACAATGATACTGCAAAAACTCTAATATAATTTATTATAATACATATACAATTAAAAGAAAATCCTTATGAACATTTGTGTAAAAAATTAGAACTTTACTTTTTGTGCTTTCAGTTTCACAAATTCAGAAACAAGTTCTTTAAGATAAACTTTTCCAGCTATTTCTTGTTCTAACAACACAGTGGCCAATCTAACAAATCTCTCTTGAAGCACAGAAGAATGAAGGTATGCCTTTATCAATTTTAGCTTTTTGTTTACATTACTGAGCTCTAGATGTTTTTTTTCTATCTGCCAGGGTCCCATTCCCCTGAAACAGTTTTAAACTGTTTCAAATAAATTATCAGTATAAAGAATGATTGGTCTAAGTACAATTTCAAAGACAATGCTGACTGTGATGACATTACTAATGTGGACAATTGATTAAATTATCATGGAACAAATATGGCCAGGCACTGCCTAAAGTGCCTTAATGGGCAAATCGCCCCTGCAATCAAGAAGGTATTTGTTAGGATGTATGACTAAGGGTGTAAACATGTTCTGTGCACACAGTCATACAACTGTTTCCTTACACAACAATGATATAGGCATTATATAACAAACTAATTAAAATATCTCTTGAGTTTGCTAGCAATGAATTAGCACTTACTCTGCATTAACACACGTATTCTAAATGCTATGTATCTCTCACATGAGTATCCAAACATAATACGTACACAAAGGTTTACCCCTAGCTCAACTTACTTAAAAAAAAATCACATGCATTCTTACAAGAATTAAATGTAACGATTGAGCAATCCTACTCCGACCATTTCTAGACATTATAAAACTGAGAATATTAAAAGTGACCACTCAGGTGTACCTACAATAATAATTACATTTGTACATCAGTTCTACATCATATAAATTAAATGAGATCTACAAAACTGACCCAAGAAATTCCTACCTTAAAGTCTGTTCCCTGAATTATGGGCATGATGCATATCCGTACCTGGAGTCGGCGTATTTTGGCCATCTTACTCTTGACAAAATCTTAACACAACTGATGAAATCTAGGGCATTTATATTTTAAAAAGCGTGGTTGGAAGAGAGAAGGAAGATGTAAGAAATCTGTGCCTTGAGCTGTAAAATGATATAGGAGTAGGGGTTTATCTTTTAGGATGACTTTGACAGTGGTATGCTTTTGTCTTAAGTCTGCTTCAGAATTGAAAAGGTAGGAGTCATGATTCTAGTGATCTTTCCTCTGAGATAATTTCAGATGTCTTTCTCCCCATACCAAGTCAAAAGTCTTAGACCAAAGTGAAGCCATAACTGGCCAGGGTTGTTATTTAGAATAATGTTCCTGTTATTTTGTTCTGCATATAATTTTGGCACACCCCCAAATTTTGGTGCCCATGGCATCTACCTAGTTCACCTAGTGGTTGGACCAGCTCTGCCCAACACTTAAGGTACTCTGCTGGGGGCAGGAAGAACTGCTTCTTCTGGAAGCTAAGTCCCTTAGATCTCACCAGCTTCAATGCTGAGCTGTTGCTTTACTACCCCAGCCCTCATGGACCCAGGCCTTATAATGAATATTAAGGATTCTCTCCTCCATGCTGTAAGAAGTGCTCACTTTTGTTGGACTTGCTAGTAATTGTTCCTAGTTATGAATCCTGTGTTTGTTCCCCATTCCTTTATATCCCTATTAGCTTGTTCTTTGGCTCTTTCCCAATGCAGGCCAATAGGTCCCAGGGGCCCTATTTGCCCAATGCAGGCCAATAGGTCCTATTTCACAAAGATTAAGGTGGACAGTGTGAGTGGCTTTTATGCTAGGAATACCCACCAATTACACTCCTTGCTAACAGGCTGGAACTTTTGCTATAATCTTCTATCTTCCTTAACAATGTATGTCCCTGCACTCTGCTCAGTGTAGGCAGTTGAGGCCTTATGGATGAGATAGATGCCTTTGTTAGTTTCATTTCCAGGAACACATCTTTTATTTAAACACTGGGCAAGAGACTCAGATTTCTGCATCAAAAGATATATGTGGCTTTTCAGGAAAGAAATAATTACTAATAGCTGTCTTCATCTCATCTTGGTAGTGCTGCCACTGCTTGGTCCATGACTGCTTATTCAACAGAGTTACCTCTGTTTTTTCCACAGTTAACTTTCCCTAAAGGTCATTCCATTATCCACCACCTGTGGATGCACTGGGAAACAGTACAGCTCTGCCCCACAGCTGTACAGAGCCCAATAAGCCTGCCAAATGCCCAGCCATGGGCCTACAAGCACTCAACGGCAGAGCAGGCAGAAGAAGATGTTAGAATCTCAGTGGCTGTGAAGGCAGATGAAGGCTGAAGTAGAACAAGATCCCCAGTTGCCTTGGTCCTCTTGCCATTAGATCAAGGTCCTGTGCTGTCAAGAACTGCATGGAACTTGATATGCAGCAGCTTCTCTATAATAAAATAAGTCACACACAGGTGTCTTCCACGAAAACAGCTTTTTCAGCACATTCTTCAAACTCTTTGGTGACCAGCTAATGGTGATGGGAGCAGGATTGTGAGGCCTGGAAGATCCTAGTCACAAAGTACCAAAATAGCTGGGAAAAGTCTCCTCTTGACACCAGCCCTCTGCTCTCCACCAGGCAGTCCCAGAGAAAAGGAACTGGAGAAAGGGAGGGGAAGAAAGACTTAAAGGGTCAACCACAGCCCAAATTTCTGTTGTGTTGCAGTTATCATGCACATCCCATTGTGAAAAGTCCCTGGAACAAAACTGGGTAAAAACAGGTCTTTCCTTAACAAAATAGCCCAAACTGCGTTTTGTCATAAGTCTTGCCTTTTCTGGGCCACCTCTGGGAAGGCACCAGCTAAAACTACAAGTCAGCTGCAGCCTATAGGTCAGCCACAGTTGCTGAAGCATCTCTGTTCAGAGATGATGAGACAAATTTATTGAATCATAGAAAATTAGGGTTGGGACAGACCTCAGGAGGTCATCTAGTCCAACCCACTGCTCAAACCAGGACTATCCCCATCTAGATCATCCCAGCCAAGGTGTTGTCTAGCCAGGTCTTAAAAACCTCCATGGATGGAGATTCCACAACCTTTCTGGATAACCTATTCCAGTGCTTTATTACCGTCCTATTCAGAAAGTTTTTCCAAATATCTAACCTAAACTTCCCTTGCTGCAACTTGAGACCATTGCTCCTTATTCTGTCACTTGCCACCACTGAAAACAGTTTAGCTCCATCGTCTTTTGAATGCAACTTCAGGTAGTTGAAGGTGGCTATTAAATCCAGTCTCAGTCTCCTCTTCTCTCGACTAAATAAACCCAGTTTGCTCAGCCTCTCCTCATAAGTCCTGTTCCCCAGTCCCCTCACCATTTTCATTTCCCTCTGCTGGACCCTCTCCAATTTGTCCATATCCTTTCTGTAGTGTGTGTGTGTGTTGGGGGGGGAGGCGGCAAAATTGGACATGGTACTCCAAATGGTGGCCTCACCAGTGCTGAATAGAACGGAATAATCACTTCCCTTGACCTTCTGGCAACGCTCCTACCAAGCAGTCCAGTGTGCTATTAGCTTTCTTGGCAACAAGGGCACACTGTTGGCGCATATTCAGCTTATTGTCCACTGTAACCCTCAGGTCCCTTTCTGCAGACCTGCTGCCCAGCCAGTGGGCCCCCAGCTTGTACTAATGCATGAGATTCTTCCATCCTAAGTGAAAGACTTTGAGCTTATCCTCGTTGAACCACGAGATGCCTTTTGGCCTAATCCTCCAATTTTCTAGGTCACTGAATCCTAGCCTTACCCTCCAGCATATCTACTACTTCCCACATCCTGGTGTCATCTGCAAACTTGCTGAGGGTGCACTATTCCATCTTTCAGGTCACTGATGAAGATATTGAACAAAACCAGCCCCAGGACCAACCCTTGGGACACTCCACTTGATACCGGCTGCCAACTAGACATTGAACCATTGATTATTACCCCCTGAGTCTGATGCTTCATCTACTTTTCTAGCCACCTTACAGTCCACA